GAGGGGCGAAACGTTTCTTTTTAACAAAAAAACGAAGTCCAGATGACATGATTCAACCTTTTTTGTTGTTATATACCTGGATGACTGAGAAAACAAACTTTGTATTTTCTCTATAATTTTTTAGATGAAAGTTAGATTAGATATAGGTCTATAGTTGGCCAGAATTTCTGAATCAAGATCAGACTTCTTAAGTAAAGGTTTAATTACAGCAACCTTAAAGCTCTGTGGTGCGTAGCCATTCATTAAAGACAATGGACTGTACTTATATAGTGCCTTACTATCTGATCAATATACTCAAAGTGATTTACACTGCAATCTGTGCCTCATTTACCCATTCATACAGCACTCTACTAGATCTCTACAAAGCTAATTGAACAAATCATTCTAATGAGACTAATCAGTGCTTTAGATCACATTCATACACTGATGGGACACACATCAGAGGCTATGAGGGGTTCAGTGTCTTGCCCAGGGACACTTTGGCATGTGACTGACTGCTGGTGGATTCGAACCCCCAACTCGCATTGGAGGACGACTGCTCTAACTACTCAGCCACAACCGTCCCCCCTTATGTCAGGTAAGCTGAAGTAGTTCACTGTAGCAAGCTACAGTAAACTACTTCATCTTACCTGTAGCTTGTGCTACATTAAAGATCACTGATATTTACTGTAGCACAAGTTACATCAGCTAAGCTAATCTTTGCTACAGTAAATAACAGTGATCTTTAATGTAGCACAAGCTACAGCAGCTTACCTGCTGTAGCTTGTGCTACAGTACATTAAAGATCAGCAATCTTTAATGTAACACAGATTAGCTTAGCTGATGTAGCATGTAGCAAGCTATAAGGGACATCGACGTGTATATTATTGTAACTACTTACTCTGCCAGTCACCAGAGCTTTATTAACATGAAGAGTTCGGACGTCCTTCACAAATCAGTTATTAATTATAAGCATCCATGGATTTAAAGCTGCGAAGCTCCTCTGTTGTAGGCACTCCTCGTGTTCATTAAATAATTAACGATATCAAAGTAACTTCTCTGTGACAACTTGTCTGTTTCTTCTGACATAATTTCTTTCTCCACCTCATAGGGACCGCAGCTATTTTATGCCTATATCTTGCTCTTGGTTAAGAGTATCAATATACTGAGCTCTGGTCTGTCTGTAAGCCATCTTCTTCACATGCGCCTCAACAAATGGTGGAAAACCCGGTATTGCGCATTACCGGTCACGTGTGTGGGAACTATGTATTCAGAGAACTCAACAGGACAAAAAAAGTCCAAACACAAACCAGGCTCTAGTGAAATTTTTAAAATTGTCTCATTTGACAGGGGACTAGGGATAGTGGAAGGAAGGATGGTTTGAATTTTCTCTCTAATTGACATAATTTTATTTATAAAGAATCTCATGAAGTCATTACTACTTATAGTTGTAGGGATACATGGTTCAACAGAAATGAGACTTTTAATTAGTCTAGCAATAGTACTAAACAGAAACCTAGGGTTATTTTTATTTTCCTCTATTAAAGATGAGTAATATAAAGTTCTAGCGTTACAGAGAGCTTTTTTATATGTTAGCAGACTATCTTTCCAAGTTAAATAAAATTCTTCAACATTTGTAAAGCGCCATTTTCTCTCCTGGTTTCTAGATGCCTGCTTTAAAGTACGTAACTCAGAATAGAACGACACGCTATTTAAATTGTATCTTTAGGACAAAATCAGTCATTGAGTAAAGAGATAATTTCATATACAGATTTATTTTCTGAGCCTAAACGTTTAGTTTTATCACATTTGGGAGTTTTTCACAAACATTTGTTTTCTTCATGACCTAAGCTGTCTTTTATTTATTGCCCTGTTTTCCCCAGCCTGTCCACTTCTGTTTCTTCTGGCAACACCTTTTGTCTCCTGATGCCACTTGGACTCCAGCCAGAACCAGCTCTCGTAGGCCTTTTTACTGCAAAATCTAAAGCAGAATGAGGAATGACAAAGAAATGATGGGGAGCATGTTTCTGTTTTAACGTCCGTGAAGAAAGTCATCTGTCAGCTCTGAAGCCTCGGTTTGAACCCTTGAATGTATTCTTATTTAGTGTGAATCAGAGACGGAGGCAGGCAGCTGCATGTCAGTCGCTCTCACCTGGCTCTGAGGGGACGCTGTTTGCACTCTTGAATAAATTTGGCCTGGAGGAGGGAGGGGCTGGTGTGGATATTGAACCAGCACGTTCTTGTGTACCTTGTTCAGACTCACATGGTTACCGTGCGTGGTGAGGTTAATCTGAATACCATGTGAGTAATACAACCTTCACGCTCTCGCTCTCTCTCTCTCTCTGTGATGGAGTGGGTGGAGCTTATGTCTGGGGAGGGGGGGGGGGGGGGTTGAGTGGCTGCAGGGTGTTTTGTTTGTTCCTATGTCTCTGGTTACCCAGCCTGCCCCACTCTGGTGTTGCCTGGTCACGTCTCTCATCGGCTCGCTTTATTGTTTACCTTCCTAATGAGGGGGGCGGAGCTCTGCGACAGGTGATTGACAGCACTCCCTCCCCTCCAAGAATGAACCAGGACTTTAGCTTTTCGGCTGAGATGTGGTTTGAGGGAGGAGGAGGATTTTGTTAAATACCTCTCTGATTTTGTTTTTTTCCTTCTTCTTGTGGGACAGCTTATGGAGGAGGAAGGTTGTGGGAGAGTCGTGACGGATACGGCTGCACAGATTCCTGTCAATTATCTAAAATGATCTAAACCTCATGATTCATCTGCTTTTCTTGCTTTCACAGTATCCTAAATGACCACTTGTGGGGATAAAAAGGAAACTTTTCAGAAGCAAGTTTGGGCATATTTAGGAGGATTGTAGTGTTTGTCGACTGCTGCACACATCCAGGTCAGAGGAAAGTTGCGTCTCGTTTAGTTAAAAAAAAGAAGAAGAAAAAAGGATTGGGGGGGGAGTGAGCCAAATATTGAGACAGTGTTGGTTTCGCTTCGTTGGTGTCACTTCAAAGTGACGAGCAGAGCCAATGAAGAGAGCGCAGACCTTTCAGGACAAACACAGCGTGACACACTAACACACACTGCCTGACTGACACAATTTGACTGGGGGTGGGGTGGGGAGGGGTATTTATTTTTAATAAAGCCACACTTATTTTGGGACTGACATTTTACAACATTGCCTTTATTCTCCAATCAATAGGCAGTTAAATATTGATAAGAGGGACGAAGTTGCCAACGCGGCACAGAAGTTCCACACGCCTCAGCTGTGTCTGAATGACTGTGTGTGTGTGTTGTGGTGGGTGGGGGTGGGGGGGGACACTCACTGAGCTGAGGAGAAGCTGGAGATTTCCTGCCTTCTTTAAGCTGCTGTGAGACGGTTTGAGTTCAGACAGTTTTTGTCATCAAGCTGCATCTTATTTAACATTTCTGCTCACATTAGGCATTTTTGAAGAAACGTGTCATTTCATTTGTGTAAAATTGTGACTTTAATGTTTGGTGTTGGAGTGAGGGAGCCGAGGGCACCAGGCGGATATTTGAGCCCCAGGGGGAATGAGTGCTCTTCTGTGGGCAGCCCACCCTCCCCTTCTCCTCCTCCAGGGGGAGGCCGAGGGGATTTGGATCAGGGTCCCACCTGGACCCTGCGGGCCCCTGTGGGGCCCCTTCCTGCAAAGACCCTGGAGAACCGCAGAGCCTCACCTGCTTGTTTGTTTGTTTATCTGAAGAGGCGAGGACACGATCTCTGAGATGACGTTCAACGTTCAGATCATTTTGTCAGTTTCCAGCAACTATTTATCCTAACCACAAACCAACTTTGTGAATCCACAAATTTTACATGAGTTTAACTTCAAAACTGAAAGAATTTCAACGTTTCCATTGGATGTTTAGCGGCTGATGGGAGAGTGGAGTCGTCCTCTGGGAACGTGATCCCTCATATCTGTGTTTGCATAATGAAGCTGCACATTAACATGACAATATGCTTCAAGTGTGTTTGCTCAGGACTCTGCATTATCACTGCACACACACCCTCTCACGCACACACACACACACACACACACACACACACACACACACACACACAAAACCTAATGGAAGGTGTTTACACACCACTCCATATGAGGGTCTCCACGTCATTTCGTCCAGCAGGACAACATGAAGTTTGCTCTTTTGTCTCTGCAGTGAAAGCTTGTGACTGCAGCAGCTCCTGAATCTCCTCCAAACTCCAGCTCTGCTCACAAATCTTTTTTGAAACATCCTGATACATGCTCAATAATCCAGGTAGAAAAATCCAAAAAAGTTCAATCTGGTCCTCTGGACATTCAAATGAAATTGAATGTCCAGAGGACCAGATTGAACTTTTTTGGATTTTTTTGAAACAGTTTTCAGTCAAAGCTTGTGGAGTCTTGTGTGTGATTCAGTTTGAATACCAAACATTTGCTCCAGTCTTCTATGGTTTTTAGAACATTAAAGGTCCATTGTGTGCCTGAAGGTTGTCGTTTCTCTCGTGTTGCAGACTGGCAGAAAACCGAAGCCCAGAAGAGACGTGAGCAGCTGCTGCTGGATGAACTGGTCATCCTGGTCAACAAACGAGACGCTCTGGTCAGGGACCTGGACGCCCAGGAGAAAGAGTAAGTTACCCACAGAACAGAAACGTCAAATATGAAAGCAGACTTGAGCAGCCGAGGGGTTCTCAGGACCTCCACTGCTCTCTTTTCCTGACGATCCTCCAGAAACTGCAGAGAAACGTTTGAGGGCTTGCGGCATGTGAAAGGTCACCGCTCGGCCCCTGACACAAGGCCGCTCCTCAGGTGCCGTGGCAACCGTCGTCATGGCACTAGCAGCTTTACCTGCGTCCCGTTTCTCCACCTTCAACCCCTTTTGTGATCTTTGACCTTTTTGCCGTTCGCAGGGCTGAAGAGGAGGACGAGCACCTGGAGAGGACGCTGGAGCGGAACAAAGGCAAGATGGCCAAGAAAGAGGAGAAGTGTGTCCTTCAGTGATCGTCAACCAACAAATGTAGCCGATAAAAGAAAAAGAAATGTATCAACAGAAATACTCACTTTTTTTCTTTTTTGATAGCAACTTGTAGACATTTTGATCCTGACATGGTTTCTGGTCCAATCAACTGCAAAGACACCAACTTTATTCTGACTCACAGTCCCAACACAGGTTTTTATTTTTATTTTACCAGTATCTTCTTGAAAACGGTACCTGGCTCCGCCAGTCAGTCTGACTTTAACAGGACGGGAATTTGAACTTTAATTTCTCTTCATCGTGTTCAGAAAACAATGAAAAGTTTGTTTCTTAAAAAACAAAACAAAAAAAAAACCTATCTTTACGAAATACTTCATTACTTGACTGTGTCTTTTAATTCGATCACTTTTTAACTTGTAAAATATTTTAACTGCATTAATGTTCATAAATCTTTCCTATTGTTTTTTACATCTGAGCTTGAAAACAGTTTCACCAAAAGACAAACTGCACTGTTGTTCGTTTCCATCACTTTTTTCACAACTTTTAAACAACTTTCTCCGGCTGCAGTCAGAAACAAACGTGTTTTTGTTGTTATTATTTATTGCTGCTTGTTTATCCCATCACATTTCATGCAGTTTGTATTTATTGTATTCAGAAGTCTGCCTCCATCTGTTTAGAGCTCCACATCTGGTGCAGATGTTGTTTCACGTGTGAACATTTTCTGATTATTTATTCCTGTCATGACTCAAATCTTCAGTAATAAATCCTCTGATTTCCTGCTTCACCTGGTGGACTTTTTTTTTCAACCTTTATTTACACAGGTTAATCCCATTGAGTCTCAATTTGTAACCCTCTAGATTAAAGCATTTGGATTTAGTTTTGTTTTTGTTTAGCAAATAAAGTTTTAGTCAAATTCTGACTTATTTTTATTTAAAACCTGAAGATGAGTTTTATTTTATTTTTACCTTCTTCAGAAAATAATCCAGACCAAAATATTTATACATTACTTCATTTTCCATAAAGTCACTGAAACAAGTTGGAGACTTGAGATGCTTTTATTATTCTGTTCAACTACCTTTTATTTTTCTTTATTGATTTTATTTTGTATTTAAAAATACATTCCATTCGGGTTATTGTTGTTGTTGTTGTTGTTGTTGTTGTTCATTTGGATCCAGGCCTGAACGCTTGAGCCAAAATGAAGAGACTCGGGAACCTTTTTAATTTGTATAAAATGAATAAATATTTGCCACTCTTCCGCCGGCTGAGCTGCGAGTCCCGGGAAGGGGCAGGAACCCGGGATGGAACCCCGGTCCTGATTAAAGCAGTAAAATCGGTTGTGACTGCAGACGTCCTCCCGGTCTGACCCGGTTCGGTTCTGCTCTGCACTGTGCGGACCCGTCGCACCATCGCGCCCCGCGAGGCGCCTTTACTGACTGACTGAAAACAAAGCACGTTTAACTCTGAATAAAAGCCAGTTCTGACAATCACAACGGCCTTTAAACTGGAATAAAGAAATATTTTAAAAGTTCGTTTTCTTTGTTGCGCCAAACGAAAGTTTTGTCTGGATTTTTTTTTCTTCTTCGTCTACATCGATCAAATGTTTTTTTTTTTATGTTTGTTTTGTTGTTGTTTGTTTGTTTTAAAGAGATAGTTTGTCGTCTTACCTCCGCAGCTCCACTTCTTTAATGCTCTGAAGCAGAGAAAGGTGAAAAACATCTGGTTTTCCTCGGTGAAGAAAAGCCACGCGCTGCGTAAAAGGCATCGGCTCGGTTCTGATGGTTCGGCTGAGTGGCTCCTCCTGAGCTGTGATGCCTCTCGGCCTCACCTCCCAGGTGCAGCTCGGCCTCCTCCTCTCAGTTCTGAGGTTTTCCTGCATCCTGCTTTTAATAAACATCCGCGCAGATCTGCAGTCCCGCCGGCTGGAGGGACCAGCGTCCCCCTCCTCTCCTGTAATCCCAGTTTTACCAGCTCAGCATTAAGAAAATTCAACTGCAATTTGGGATTAGACAAAATGTTCTTATTACAAAAGCTTTGGTGCAACTTGATAACTTGATACTTGTTCAGGGGTTTATGTGTGTGTATGTGGGGGTGGGGGGGGGGGATAAATACAAGAAATGCGAGGGCGAAATTTCAGAATGCCTGTTTTCTTTTGTTGAAAGGCCTTTTTGCATAATTTACTGGAGCCGTGTGTGTGTGTGTGTGTGTGTGTGTGCGCGCGCGCGCGTGTGGTGAAGGGGAGGGCTTGCTGGTATTTGGGTCTTTGCCGGTCCTCTGACAGCTCCACAATAAAATAAAAGGTAAAGTTAAAAAAAAAAAAAAGAGCAGGAAATTGTTTGACCTCCTAAACAAAATTCACAAACAAATAAATAAATAAAAACATAAGAAGGTAAAAATAAATCGACCAAGTTTGATTTGGGTTAAAATGGATTCTGTGCCTAAAATGGAACTTTTTGTGCCAAAAAGGTGCGTTCAGGTGCCTCCACACACAGCCTGACACATTTCTCTGATTTCTTTCTAAATGCTCTCAGTGATGATCCCTCCACCTCCATGCATGTAAAATGAA